AATATTTGACAATGGTGTTTGTACTTTTGTTGCACTTTGTAGTGACTCATATCACATATCTGTTTCTGTGTATGTTATTAAGCTAACCTTCTGGAATTATCATTGAGACAAGTACAAAAGAAAATCTAGTCATTGATGAGAGATTTTCAATAAACTGCTTCTATGATGAAGAACCAGATGGTTTGAGTTATTCCATGCACCTTCAGAGTTGATTGAGGCCTTTTTCAAGTTTGGGCAGACATTGAGGCAAAGAAAAACCCTGATAACTTGACAATCAACGGTTCCTATATGTGTCATTTTTACCCATGTGTTTAAAATTGATGTAGAAATACAAATACTGTGTTTGTTTATAAAGAAAGGAAAAATAAATATAATGATTTCTGGAAATCAAAAACAAGATGTTTAATGAATACCTAGATTAATAAATTTTCTTTCAAATATTCAGCAAAGAAATTTTAATACGGGTCTTTTTAGGCCCATGTTGTGCATTAGAAGGGTAGTGACAAAAACGATTTTTATTCGAAAAGTAATAAAGGAAACATTTAAATAAGCATTTGTAATTATCTAAAATAAGTTAATTGAGGAATACCTGGAATACTGAATGATGAAATTAATTTCTTCCAATGATATATAAAATTAAATCTCAAGTTGGGTCTATTTAGAACTATAAAGTTGTTAAAGAAAGTTGTCTGAAAAAGTAGACATCCCAACTGCTTATAAAATATAATATTATTGTGAGCTTACCATAGTGAATTAGGGTAAGTGAAGAACAGAATTTTTGTTTTTTATGTACTTGATCTTAAAGATCTCCCTTTAAAATAATGAAATAAATAATAAAACCAAAAAAAGTAAACCAGTACCATTCAAAAGTTTGAGGTCGGTAAGATTTTTTAAAATATATTTGTGTTCCCTTTCGTAGTCACTCCGAGTATACATCGGATGACGGAGAATGGGGGTTTCGCTTAGAAAGCCTGTCATCTTCGAGTATTAAAAAACGAGCCAATGGGAAGGAAATGCCATGGGTCTGCGGAATTTGCATAACTTATCCCCACCTCACCACGTGGGTATAAAGGGAGGATGCGGACGCAAACGCAGCTATGTTTTTGCTTCGGAGCCAAGAGAATCTCTTTACTCCACAAGCCAAATCCTAAATATTTTCAGTGACTACATCTCTTCGAGACGAGCGAACTCTCTGGTGTTGCTGTGACTGGGGTATCCAGCGTGTTTCACATTGCCTGCGATCTGAGCAGTGTTCTGCTGGTCTGTGTGTCTCTCCCTGGTCGCTTCAACATCCGCTGAGTTTTTTCCTCTCACTAAAAGAGCGTGCACGCGTCACGTCTTTTTAAAGACGCGTCTTTCTAAAGACGATCTGCCCGTGTATTTCTGAGTGCGGTATTCTGATAGATTCAGCTGATGGGCGCGAGCACTGTTTGACGTGTTTGGGCTTTGATCGCGCACAGACAGCGCTCGTGGGTGTGTCACGTTCTCTCAGTCGGAACGTGACCATCGCAATGTATAACGGTCGAGACTCAGTGAGCTCCATAGAGTGAGAGTCCCCTCATCCACAACCCAATCTATTTTTCTCCACTTGAGATAATACTTCGTCTACGTACTACGTCTACGTGTTGAAGTGGAACCTCTCGCTGAGAAGACCCCAGGACCTGCTCGATCAGTGTCGTGCTTTCCTTCCTGCTAGACGGGTTGGAGCGAAGCCTGTCTCCATCCACCCTGAAGGTGTATGTGGCCGCTATTGCCGCATATCACGAAGCAGTTTAAGGTAAGTCCCTGGGAAAGCACGACCTGATCGTCAGGTTCCTAAGAGGAGCGAGGAGACTGAATCCTCCTCGCCCTCCTCTCGTACCCTCTTGGGACCTCTTAGTGCTCTCAAATGCCCTGCAGAGACCTTCCTTTGAGCCTCTGCAATCAGTTGAGATTAAATTCCTGTCTAGACAGCGTTCCTGGTTGCACTGGCCTCGATCAAGAGGGTGGGGGACCTGCACGCATTCTCCGTTGACGAAGCGTGCCTGGAATTCGGGCCGGCCAACTCTAACGTGATCCTGAGACCCCGGTCTGAATATGTGCCCAAGGTTCCTACCACTCCCTTCCGGGACCAGGTGGTAAACCTGCAAACACTGCCCCTGGAGGAGGCAGACCCAGCCTTGGCACTGCTCTGTCCAGTACACGCCCTCTGTGCTTATGTAGACAGAACGCAGTGTTTCAGGACCTCAGACCAGCTCTTTGTCTGTTATAGTGGTAGCCAAAAGGGAAGGGCTCTCTCAAAGCAGAGGTTGTCTCACTTTATAGTGGACTCCATTGCTTTGGCTTACCAACACCAGCAAGGTCGACCGTGCCCCCTTGGTTCCACCCGGAGTGTGGCTTCCTCTTGGGCTCTAGCGCATGGCGCCTTGCTAGCAGACATCTGCAGAGCTGCAGGCTGGGCGACACCCAACACATTCGCCAGATTCTACATTCTCCGAATGGAGCCTGTGTCCTCTCTTGTACTCGCTCACCCGGCCAGTACTGGACTTGCTCAGGTGTCTTCGCTTGCTCGCCATTCCACTCCACGGACTGCAGCTGAGCCTTCTATTGAAGCCCTGAGTTCCTACAGCACTGTTGACGCTGGTGCCAGTGTCTAATTGCCTGGACGTCGGCTAGGTGCCTCCGTGTGATGGGTTCCTGCTAGTAACCCCCACATGTCTATTTTCCACTGTAAACCTCTCTGAGCAAGTGTCTTCCCTTGGCAAGCCACCTTGCCAACCCTGGAGTTAACATTCTAGCCACCCTACGGGTTGGTGACTCCAATGTTCCTCCATATGAAGCCCCCTTGGGCCATATGTGTATTCTTAAGTCCTCCCTACTGGTAGGCATACTGTGGCATATTTCCTCTGAGATATGCTTCCCAGTGTACCTTGGTATTCCTGTGCTAAGTAGGACTCCTCGTCCGTGCTAAGTTTTCACGACAGGGGATCAGACTTTCACAGGGCACTGGAAGACAGCTGTGAAGGTGGCGTAATTACACGGGGGACCCCCATTCTCCGTCATCCTACGTAACTCGGAGTGACTACGAAAGGGAACGTCTCGGTTACGTATGTAACCCTCGTTCCCTGAATGGGGAACTGAGACGTTACGTCTCCCTGCCACTTTCGCTGTACCGCTGGGTAGACGCCTGAGTTCAGTCTCGGCTCCTCAGCAAAGACATAGCTGCGTTTGCGTCCACATCCTCCCTTTATACCCACGTGGTGAGGCAGGGATACGTTATGCAAATTCCACAGAGCCATGGCATTTCCTTGCCATTGGCTCGTTTTTTAATACTCGAAGATGACTTTCTAATCGAAACCCCCATTCTCCGTCATCCGACATAACGTCTCCGTTCCCTGCTCAGGGAAAGAGACGTTACTTTTGCTCATCAAAGCTGCATTTATTTAATCAAAAATACAGTAAAAACTATAATATTGTGAAATAATCATACATTTTTTTTCTATTATTTTAATTTAAAAGTGCATTTTTAAATGTATTGTAATATTTTAAAATGCAATTTATTCCTCTTTTTTTAACAGCTGTTACTCTATTCTTCACAAGTGTCACATGATTCTTCAGAAATCATTCTAATACATTATTTATTTATATAATATAAATATATATGATATATATATATATATATATTATATATAATATAATGAAAGATCAAAAGAACGGCATTTATTTGAAATATATTTTTGTAACAAGTCTTGATCAATTTAATTCCTCCTTGCTGAATAAAAGTACTTATAAATGAAAAATATAATCTTACTGACCCCTAACTTTTGAAAGATCGTCTGCATCAGTGTAATGCACAGACTAATTCTAGTAATATTACCAAAGGCATATTTGGTTTTATGTTATTAGTCTGTTTTATTCTGACTGATATTAAAGGTATAGCGGAGGATTTTCTTTTTCCGGGTGGGTAGTCTATACTATTGGTCCACCTAAGTGTCAATCATTCTGGTGATATGTTTACGTAAGGCCGTCGTAGGCTACGTGCTCATCCCTATGTAGTTTTCACTTTCAGGTGTATTATGTCGGAGTTACGGTTTCAACCATTCCTTTGAAAATGGCTGAGGGTCGAAAGAGAAAAAATGTTTACGAAGTGTATGATAAGAAGAGAAAGGCCGCAGAATATAGAAACAAGACCAGAGTGATTTTGGGTGAATATCACACGCTGGCGTGCGCTAAAAGCACAGGTTGGGCTTCTCACTGATGCCGCAGTCGCGAAGATTCTACCAGACAGGTAAAGTTTGTCACGCTATTTGGAGAAATCCATTTAAAATCACTAGTAAAAGTTAATGCAAGCTACAATGCTAGCCCTGGCACGAGTCATGCACCGCATAGACACGGTAAACATCTCAATTTGTCTAAAGTAGCCTTTTGACCAAAATGGTAAATGGTATCACGCTGAAATATTCTAAAATCTTGTGTGTTCATATTCTAAAACCTTGTGTGTTTATTATTACAAATGCAACAAGCTACTTCTCCATATGCAACTATGTATAAAAATAATGTATTAACAATGAGAGATATTAGGTTAAGGACCAACGTAATAGCACTGCTTATATGTTGCTATGTAACGTAATTGCGATTTGCAAAATAGTTTCCTCAGAACGTAGTTCGTGTGATACAGGGTTGCACATATCATGTCTTGAGTCCTCGGTCACTCAATCGATCAGTATAATAAGTAAATAAAACACGGAAGGGCAGTTAGTTTAGAATTTGCAACATAATTGTGCAAGGCGTAATAGACGTTCCCTCTCGGGAGCAAGAGTGTTGTGTTTGTGCATGTGCATTTTTTTTAAAAATTGAAGAGGGCGGGTCTTCTCTAAAATTCAGAAAGATCCTCCGCTATACCTTTAAGTCACTTATATTATCTGTGTTTTGTATAAATATTTTCCAGTGTCGTCTTGTTTTTCACATGTTCAAATGTGCGTCTGGTACTGTCAGTTGATCATATTTTTCTGTGTCTCCAGTGGCAGGCCATCTCTTTGACAGTGATAGAGAAAGTCCAGATAGCTGCAGCTGTTCTGGGTTCACTGTTCCTGATAGCCAGTATCTCCTGGCTGGTGTGGTCCTCCCTCAGCCCCTCGGCCAAGTGGCAAAGGCAGGACCTCCTCTTCCAGATCTGTTATGCCATGTACGGCTTCATGGACCTGGTTTGCATTGGTAGGTCATTGGATGCTCAATAATTGCAGCTACCTGCCTCAGCAAAACCAATGCTGTGCTTTGTATGTGTTTGTATGTTTATTTGTCTGAGAGTACACTGTGACTAGTGGCCACCCTGGTAACCAACATCTATTGGAATCATCTGAAAGTGAACAAGACATAATATTGAATTACAAGCACAATTTCCTATACATGTGGAAATGTGCAGGCAGAACTAAGAGGATTATGTTTTTCAGGCAAGCCACATGGAGTAATTGCTGCATTTCAGTTAATGCATTTCATGCAGTTTTTATGCATCTACTGAATAAAATTCCTTACAATAGAAACGGAAAGGCTCAAATATTGAGAACTGGAAATTGATTCTTGTATGCCATTCAAAGTCAATTCAAATTCAAATTGCCATGATATACTGGCTGTCACATTAAGAATGTACAATTTTAAATCCATCCAATAGTAAGTGACTTTTTATATAACTGATATTGTGATACATATACAGTCGGCATACAATAACCATTTCAAGCAGTAGTTTGCTACATAGGTGTCACATGATCACATGAGTTAAAGGGGTCATATCATGCTTTTTCACTTTTCAACTTTAGTTAGTTAGTTAGTTATTTGATGCGGTGGTGTGACATCATGATTGACAGCTGTGATAGGTTCTCTGAGAGAAGTAGTCACTGATGCACCAACAGACTTTATTCAGGATCTTCATAGGACTGAGGAGATTGGGTCTCTAAATGTAATTTCTAAAATGTAATTTCGAGAGTGAGGGCCAGGCCTTGATTTCGTGGCTTTACTTCTTGCTCACTGCTGCGCATGTCTGGTACCGAAATCGGTACTGTGCAGACTCAAGTTCCAAGATATCAGCGCCATATCGGACACTGGCGGCTTCACTTCTGACCAATGGAAGGGGCGTCATCCATCTTTTTTTACAGTCTGGTTTGGACTACAACACATTTTTTACCGGGCTTTATGAAGTCACAGTGTTACTCATTTAAATAATCCCCACCCACGGAATATACAAAAAAGGGGATAAGGCCTGGCTGAGCTGCATTAGAGAAGACAGTGTTGTCACTATGTCAAAGAGACACTGACGTCCTAAAGGTGATGGTACACAGGATGATGATACAGCCGGGATATCCTAATTGTGGGCCTAATTTATTTGTCCCATATTGGGACCTCCCTTGTCCTGATCAAATAGACTTCTATGCTGATCTAACCACTGACTGATACAACAGCAACAAGACACTTGAGAATGATCACAACACCGGTCATCATCCAATCACAGCCCACACTCATGCGCATCAGACCATACAAATAACAAACTCTAAATTGAGAATAATTTATTCTTTTGGGACAAATCGTTGTTTGATTTGCAAAAAGAATCCTTTTTTATTTTTTATTTTTTTATTTAACAGTCATACATACATACAAACCAACATAGTGCAGTAGTGAGCAATCTTGTAAATCCATAATTCCACAAGTGACGAGAGTGATTGAAGAGTTTGATCTAAGTGTGTATGTGAGCGGGTGTGAGTGTGGGTATGTGTAAGTGTATGTGTGTGTATGCGTAAACAAAGTAACCTGTTAGGAGTTCGTTTTGACACCGAACTACTAAGGTGCCTGGACCCGGGATAGCCTGGTTGACACGCTCTGTGTTATAATGCTACGCTCACTTGATTGCCCTGTGCTAAACAAACTCTCGTAGATAATATGGTAGTTGAAATCCATAGTGGTCCATTTTATTTTTGGTATTTCCATCTGCATTACAAAGCACCGCGCAAGCGGTCAAAAACCCTTTGCCCTTCCGGGTCAAACACCTCCCAACAATGTTATGTCTTCTACCTTTATACCTGTGGCGAACTTACAGACATGCGCCACCCAGTGTCAGACACAGAAATTAAAATCTAGAATTACATAACAAACAAGTAACATTTGGCTCTTACACACCGGCCCCTAATTGTTGATGGCCAGAAGACACAACAATTCAAACAAATTGAAAAAAAAAAAAAAAAAAAAAAAGGAACCAAATGTTACAAAATACCATAAGGTAATCCAGATAATACCCGTTACCTGGGTATTAGTATCTAATATCAGGTATTCGATAGACTGTATATATTCGATACTGTTACACCCCATGCACTAGACAAAGTTTGGTCACAGGTCTTTCAATGACATTAGATTTTGTCTGCAACTTCACAGAACGTACTAGGCCCTGCTTATCAGAAAAAACTTCAAGTATTCTGGCAAGTGGCCAAGAACCACGAGGAGCCGAAGCGTCCATGATGCTCACAACATCTCCAGCCTTCAAACTTCTCTTCTTGTCATTCCACTTTTGCCTCTCTTGGAGTAGAGGCAGGTATTCCCTCACCCATCTTTTCCATAACAAGTCCGAGAGGTATTGCACCTGTCTCCACCTTCTTCTCACATAGAGATCATGAGGCTTGAACAATCCAGGTGGTAGGGCTGGCTTACCTTTAAGCAAAAGTAGATGGTTTGGTGTAAGTGACTCCAAATCATTTGGATCGTCTGACAGCTTAGTAAGTGGCCGATCATTCAAAATGGCTTCTGCTTCACAGAATACTGTATTTAAACCATCATCATCTAGGATCTGCTGCCGTAGGACAGAACTAAGGACTCTTCTTATGATGCGGATCATCCTCTCCCACACACCGCCATGATGAGAACCAGCTGGTGTGTTAAAACTCCAACGAATGCCTATTTGTGAGAGGACTCCTTCGATCTGTTGATGATTCAATTCAGCGAGAGCTACCTTCAGTTCTCTATTCGCCCCAACAAAGTTGGTACCATTGTCCGACACCAGGTGAGTCACTTGCCCTCTTCTGCTTATAAAGCGCCGCAGAGCATTGATACAAGCGTCCGTCTCCAAAGAGGCTGCAACTTCCAGATGAACGGCTCTGCAAGCTAAACAAGTAAATATTACTCCATAACGCTTACAGATTCCTCTTCCTTTCCTCACTTCCAATGGACCAAAAAAATCCACTCCCGTGTTGGTAAAAGGGGGTAGATCTGGCTGGATTCTTATTTCTGGAACATCAGCCATCTTTTGTCCCAGAAGACGTCCATTGTAACGCCTACAGAAACCACACTCATTAATGATTTTTCGGACGGCCGCATTCGCCTTGGTAATCCAGAATTTCTTTCTTGCTGATGACAACGTGTGAGCACGTCCAGCATGGCCCAGACTCTGATGAACATCTCTGAGGATGAGTGTTGCAACATTCTGTTCTTTAGAGAGGATAATAGGATGTTTAACTTCCTCAGGCATCGCTCCCCTACTCAGCCTCCCTCCAACCCTCAATAGTCCACCAACCAGGACCGGGTCCAGCCTGTATATTGGACTCTGGCGACTCACCGCTGCCTTCTTAGAGGACAATGCAGCAATCTCCTCCTTGAATTGCTTCTGCTGGCAATATCTAATCACTGCCACCTCTGCTTCGGACAGGTCGTCTACAGTCAGGGTTTTACTCCTAGGCATTGCTGTGAACCTTTTCCCATCAGTCTGCCTTGAACTGGATCGAATGATTTCTTCTGACTGGATTACCAAAGGCTGTTTTCTCCAGCGAGCCTTCTCCAACAACACTGCCTTCAAACGGAGAAACCAAGCTGCTGTCCTCTTGAGCTTCCTCCAGTCGGAAAAGCAACTGATGAGCTGGTCAGTAGGATTGACTAAGTCACACCTTTTGATGGCATTTATGGTAGCCTCTCTTCTCACCTCTTGGTCATCAGGATTTAATGAAGTATCCAGGGCCGAATTAGGCCAGTCCTCCTCTTGCTTCCACAGAAAGGTAGGACCTTCCCACCACCTACTGCTCTGCAAAAAATGTGCAACCGTCAACCCCCTTGATGTATCATCTGCCGGATTATCCTTGGAGGAGACATGCCTCCATTGCCAGGGTTCTGATGCCTCCCGGATGGTTGAAATTCTATTAGCCACGAATGTGTGAAACCATCTATCTTCATTCCTGATGTACTTTATAACTGAAGTGCTATCTGTCCAAAAAACAGAATCTTTCAGCCTAAATTTTAGTTCTGCCTTTAGCATCAAGTCTACACGCACGGCGAGGAAGGCTGCTGTCAACTCCAGTCGCGGAATAGTTATGGCCTTCAGTGGCGTCACCCTAGCCTTACCGAGCAAAAGGGATACTCGGGTGTGACGTTGCTGATTCAACATCCTCAAGTATGTAACAGTCCCATATCCAGCTTCACTAGCGTCGGCGAAGTGATGCAGCTGGGCCTGGATGACCTCGCCAAATTCCACTGGTTTGACACATCTTGGTACCTCAAATGCATTGAGCTGGTCCAGATCTTTCAACCACATCTTCCACTGGCTTAAGATGTCAGGTGGCAATGCCCCGTCCCATGCACATCCTCTTCTGCATAGTTCCTGCTGCATCGCCTTTGCAGGCAGTGTTACTGGTGCCAGGAAGCCTAGGGGGTCATACACTGAGCAGATGGTTGACAGCATACCACGTCTGGTAAGCCCCTGTTGCTTCGCTTCAATCTTAAATTTGAAAGAGTCGGTTTCTACAGACCACAGTAGACCCAGAGCTCTCTCCACTGGCAGCTTGTCTTAGTCCAAATCCAATTCCTTTAAATCCTTAGCCCTTCGCTCTGTTGCAATGGCCTGCAAGACGGCGCGGCTATTGCTAGTCCACTTCTCCAAGACGAAACCTCCTTTCTGGCACAATGCAGTTAGGTCTTGGATCATCTGGATAGCCTCCCCTTCGGTGGCTGAACTCTTTAAAGAATCATCCACATAAAAGTTTTCCTTGACAGCCTGATCATCAGCGCTTTTTCTCAGCGCATAGCTTGCACAGCTTGGAGAGGACGGGACCAAACAAGTGAACAGTCATCCTATGTTCTACCAGGTCCTTAGTGACGTCTCCGTATGGCCACCAGAGAAAACGGAGGAAGTCCCGGTCTTCTTCTGCAACCTTTACCTGGTGAAACATGGCATGTATATCACCCATAAATGC